TCTAGGACCAACACACACACACATACAGAAAGAGAGAGAGTGAGAGAGAGACAGAGAGAGAGAGAGAGAGAACGTGTCACCCATTTTCTCTGTATCTTCTCTTCTGCTCTACCTCCTCAGCCTGTCTATTCTTTATACTTTTGTTTTGTGCCTTAAACAATCCCCTATTTCAGCATTCAGATTGTCCACATAACTTAAAGATGAAGATTTGCTGCCAGCACATAGTTTGTGCCTTTGCCTCACATGGGTAATATAACAGCAATTGTCAAGCTGCACATGAAGTATGATAGAAAGTAACTGATTTGCATGTGTCCAAATGAAAGTTGTCTTTCCAAATCTTCACTTTGAGATTGTCTGCCCATCTATTTTAAGAGGCTCTTTATATTTATGCCAATTACCTTCTCCCACATGTGACTCAATTCAGTCACAATCCCACCTTCCTTTGACTCCATCCTTGACTGTGTGTTTTTGACAGTGGAAAGGGAGGACATGTGGAAGCAGACTGTTTTGTGTAGGATTTTTCATGCATCAGCTGCTTGCCTGCTTGAAAGTGCCTTTGTAAGTGGTAATTGGTTGTGCACTAGAGAAGCTAATCAGAGCAAATCTAATTGCAATAGTTCCACAGCCCATAATGTATACAGAGAAGTCGTTTTCTTGCTAACTTGTCTTTCATTTTCCCACTGGATCACTCCACCCCATGCCCACTCCTAGCCATGTGTAGTATGTATTCCTGTCCAGTGCATGTACTGACCAAATACATTGTCATGGAAAACATATGCATGCAGTTACTATGACTATTTCCTGCCAGGTAAAAATAAAGTTTGTTGAGAAAGGGGAGACATTTTCTGCTTCCTAGCACAACATTGTGTGGACTAGCATTTGCTTCTTAAGATCCTATGGGAGTACTGGCATTTGCATCCACACTTGAAGGTGTCATTCTATGTCAAAAGGATGACTAAGTTGGGCAGGTTTCCAATTCACTACTGCTTATCACATGGTGCTCTGGGCAAAACCCTTGACTGGCTTAAAGGAACTCATCACTAATAGGCTCTAACCCAGGTCCTTACCTCAATCCATGGTGCAGGATGGTCATAAGCTAGATTAAAGAAACACTGCCTATGAAGGCTTTTGCTCAAAGTTCTCTGTTTAAATTATCTTTAAAACTGGTAGTGGTATATTTTTGTTTATGTTTTTGTGCTGGTATTGAGGCTTGAACTTGGGGCCTGAGTGCTGTCCCTTAAGTTTTTTTGATCAAGGCTGGTGGTCTATCACTTGAGCCATCATTCCACTTGTGGTTTTTTTTTTTTTTTCAGGTTAATTGGAGGTGTCTCATAAACTTTCCTGCCTGAGTTGCCTTCAAATTTCAATCCTCAGATCTCAGCCATCAGAATACCTAGGTATGAGCCACCAACATCTGGCAAAACTGGTAGTTTTAAAGGTGGGGGGTAGCTCACGCTTGTAGTTCTAGCTACTCAGAGGCTGAGATCTAAGGATCAAGGTTTTAAGCCAGCAGGGGCAGAAAAGTCCATGAGACTCTTACCTCCAATTAAATCAGCAAAAATCTGAAAGTAGAACTGTGGCTCAAGTGGAAGAGCTCCAGCTTTAAGCAGAAAAGCTAAGGGAGAGAAAGAGGCCTTATAGTTCAATCCCCCAGCCACACTACCAGCATAAAACATAACTAAAAACCAACAACAACAATGAAATCAGAAAAACACAAACTCAAAATCAAAAACAAAACATTTCTTCCTTCAAACCCACAGCATGTTCCCACTGACTGGGTTCTGGAGCCTTTCCTACTTAGAAATTCTGACAGTTTTCATAAGAAAAAAAAGGAAGGAGAAAAGGAAGGAAGGAAGGAAGGAAAGAAGGGGGGGAGGAAGGAAGGAGGAAGGAAGAAGGAAGAAAGGAAGGCCAGCTGGCCAGTGCTGCTTAGGAGTCTGAGATCTGAGAATCAAGGTTTGAAACCAGCCATTTCCCAGGCAGGAAAATCTATGAGACTTTTTAATCTCCAATTAGCCAGCAAAAAGCTAGAGGGGGTATGTGACTCAAGTGGTAGAGCACTAGCCTTGAGAGAAAAGGCTAAAGAATAGCACCAGACCCCTGAGTTCAAGCCCAGTAGTGGCATAATAGAACAGAAAAGAAAAAGAAAGGAAGGAACAGAGGACAGGAAGAAAGAAAGAAAAAACCTGAATAGATTTTCAAACATTCTCACCATAAAAAATAACCATGTGGGATAATGAATATATTAATTAGATAAGTTTAGCAATTCTACAACATATATATATATATATATCAAATATGATCTTATATGTCATACATATGTATAATCTTTATTACTTTAAAAATTAATATAATGGAGGGAGGTGTGGCTCAAGTGGCAGAGCACTTGCATAGCAAGTACAAATCTCTGAGAACAGACTCTGGGACTGCAATATAAATAAGAAAAAAATTATTTGGGAATATTATATTTTTAAAGTAGCAACAATTGCAACCCATAGAGTTATTGCAAGAATTAAGTAAGATAACATTTTAACAGTCTTTGGCACATTGTTGAAGTTGTACAATTGCTAGTTTTCTCCCTTCTTTAGGCTTTTAACACTTTAGGAGAGTAGGCATATTATGATTCATTTTTAAATTAGCCTAAGTGTCAACAACACTGCCCTGTAACTAGTAACTGCTTAAAAAACATTGTTAAGGAAATCATTGGAAGAATAAAGGGTTGAAAGCAAGGACAAAGTAGGGGTAAGGACATGGGTGTGGGATGGGCTGAGTGAAAGAAAAAGCAAAGAACCCAAGGAAGAGCTCAGAGACCCTCTTCGACACATTAGACATGTTCTTACTCTTGCCCACTGAACTCTAACTGGCTGACATCTAGGTCTGGGGGCACCAGCACCTTCTGGCAATAATGATGGCAATTAGTATTTCAGCCATAGCTGCTAATGGCATTCCCATACACTTCATTCTAGCCAGAGGTAGGGGGCATGGGGAGGGGCAGACAAATTGGCAACAATGTCTAGTGGCAGAAAAAAAACAGTCAAAAGTCTGGGTTTTGTGTAGAAATGGCACCTATGCCACAATATAGGTCTATTTATCTGGATCTATTTTTATCAACTAAAACCTGGATACATTTAAAATTTGCTTAGAACTTTCAGTCTGATATTGTCATTAGGCCAGCAAAACCCTTTCTCCCATCTCTGCTTCTCATCTTTAAAAACCAAGGGTTGGTGTACATTGGGAAGAGCACAGAGGCCATCTTCTCTAGTTATTCTTCTTTTCAAAAATCACAGATGAAAAGGAATGTCAATGAAAAGGAAAGCAAGACTCATAGACAAAACAGTTCCAAATAGCTCTGCTCAAGAGCCTGGTTCCCCTTTGGAAACTCAAGACTTGGCCTCCTGTGCCAGGTGCTTTGTCACAATTCAGCCTCCTTGAACACCTGAAAGATAAGGAGGTGATCTTCTTGTCAGGAGACAGCATGAATAGTAGTGGGAACTGCTTCCCTTGTTTTCTCCATTCAACGATTATCCATGTATTTATGGGGAAGTGAGCAATGCAGAAAGGACAAATCAGAGTCATTGGCGCAACATTTGTGCTTAGGAGTTGAAAGGATGGGAGACATCAGTCTTTTCATTTACCAATAGTTGGGTTGTTTATCTTTTTTGGAGGTTTCTAATAACGCAGAAGTAGAGTGTTCAGTGGTTAAGTTTAGCAAAATGGGCTCCAGGTTAGAGGGGGTCTGAGACCATGATCCTAAGACTGCTCCCAGGAGCCAAAGATTAGCACCTCCTAATTGTTTGGGAGCTTGGCATAACACTGATCTAAGTGTATCTACTTTTCTCTTGCTCAGCCAGCTATCTGATGATGAACTACAGATACCTGTATGTCATCCTTCGACACATTGAGCTTCTGATAGAAATTAAATCTGGTACCTGATATGTAGGTACCATGACCAGTACAGCAGCACATTTCACCCTGTAATGGAGTAGTCGGCCCACAGCCTGTTGTCAGTGGCTTACGTTTGCAACCCTAGCTACTCAGGAGGCTGAGATCTCAGGATAACTGTTTGAAGCCCCCCAGAACAGAAAAGTCTGTGGGCCTCTTACCTCAAAACACTGGAAATGGAACTGTGGCTCAAGTAGTACCGTACCAGCCTTGAGCAAAGAAGCTATGGGATAGGACCATGACCTGAGTTCAAGCCTCAATATAGCGCGCACACGCATGCACGCACGCACACAGACACACACACACACACACACACACACACACACACACTAATGGGCGTGGCAGAGTTTGGTCTAATCAAAGACATCCGTCTTCTTAGTTTTTTCTCTGGGTGGACAAAATGCTAGTTCATCTTCCCCTTCCCTTTGGCTGATTTATCCTAAATGTATGTGACGAGGACGACTTTTTATATTAGTAATCAGACATTTTATCTTTAAAAGAAGGAAATCCCAGTGGAGCAGGACGGAAATGCTGCCCCGTCGACACTGGCCTCACTTGGGGAGAGGGGTAGTTAGCATTTTCACCGCTCTGGCTTCAACTCCAGCAGCCTCAGAGCTAGGCAACTCTCCGAGAGCACCATTCAAAGAACTCAAAGCCATAAATGTTTTGTTTGCTGGCAACCCAACGTGCCCCCCACTGGGTCATGTTCCCCAAACTCCTCGACTACTGATCCCACCTCCCAGTGAGGGATGCGCACCTTAGCAACTTGCAAAACCCTAGGAGCCCCGGGCGCACAGCGCCGCTAGAGGCGCGGGGAAAACATGCCCGCTCGCGCATGCGCGCGCCTCGGCCCCTCCCGCCCTCACCGCCAGTCTTGAAAAATCTTGCAGCCAGCCTCAGCCACAGCGCCTGCCCTAGAGGAGGCGGGGAGGGTGGGGTGCTGGCAGGGGCGGGGCTGGATGAATGGGCGGAGCTGCGCGCGCGCAATGGGCCGACCGGCAGGAAACCCGGGCGCTCGGGGGCGGGGCTCTCGGAGCGGCGGGGGCAGGGCTGTCCCCGGCCGCTGCCTTCGCCGCCGCCGCCGCGCATTGTGCAGCAGGCGGGCCCGCGCGGCAGGGCGCTGGACGAGTGCGGCTCCCGGGTATGGTGAGCAAGACTCTGCTGCGCCTCGTGTCTGCCGTCAACCGCAGGAGGATGAAGCTGCTGCTGGGCCTCGCCCTGCTCGCCTACGTCGCCTGTGAGTGCGCGCCCGTGGAGGGCCGGGGAGCTCCATTCATTTCCCCGCACGGCAGCGGGGACTGGGGTCGGGGAGCCCGCGGTGGGCTGTGCGGGGGGTGGGGGGAGGATCCGGGCGGCCCTCTAGCCAGTGTCCCTTCCTGCCCGGACGGTACCTGCACTTCCTGCCTCCACCCCTTTCCACGCTTGCAGCGAAGCTGCCGGCCAGCTTGGGGCGCAGACCCGCGATCCTTTAGGCCCGGACGCGGGAACCCTGTGGCAGGCGCAGGGGCCTTTGCCTGGGGCACGGTGACTGCGGGCCCCGCGCAGCGGACGCGGATCTTGCGGTCCTTGCACGGAACCCTTCAGCTACACTGCTGTCCATTCCCCCCTCTGCCCCCCACCAGGTCCCAACTTGGGTCCCGGCCGGCGATTCCAGAGAGGCGCGCGCGGGGACACCCGGCCACGCCGCCGCGTTAAGGAGGATAAAAATACTGTTGCCATTGGCAGAGTCCCCGTGCCGAGTGCTTGCTCCTCGGGAAAATTACTCAGCATGTAACTCCGGGGGTGGGCAAAGTGTTGTCAGCTTCTCCTCCTCCTCCTCCTCCACCGCACCCCCCCCCCCCCCAGCCCCGGGCTGCGCTCGGGTCTGCAGGCTTACCCGCACCCCTGTGCCAGGTGTCCCCCTGGGCACCCCTCAGGGTCATCGCACTGGAGATCCGGCTGGGCGTGGGTTCGGTGTGCGGTTCTCCTTTCTATGCCCACTCAGCCTGCTGCCTGAAGAGAGGGCGGGAGAGCCACGGTGTAGGCGGGCAGGTGGGGGAGGCCCCTCTGGCTTCCAAGAGGTGGCAGAAGCTGTCCTTTTAAAAACGATGTATTAGTCGGGAAATTGCTGCTATTAATACTTCCCAAAGCACCAAAGTTGGACTAAAAATAGCTCCCAGCGTGAGCTCTTTTTGAATCCTGGCCACCCAGATAGACACCTACTGAAATAAAACCACTTGCTAAAGGGTTTGAGTAACCGGGGGTCTGATTCCCAGGTGAAAATGAGTTCAGTTGGTAGAAAGAAGACCTTGAGTAGGATTTACCCTGTCCACTAAAGCCCAGCTATTCGCAGCATGTGGAGCCATTTGACGCTCCAGCAGGACTCCTGGGTGCTGGGAGAAGTTTCTGGCTGGGGCTTCGAATAGATGTTAGATTTGAGTAGTTTTGCAAAGACGAGCGAGTCCTGGAGAGAGAGAGAGAGAGAGAGAGAGAGAGAGAAAGTTGAGACCCCCCCAAAAAAACCCTTACAGTCGAACAAGAGTGACAGTCTTATTATAGCTGTCTTTATAATGATTATTGTAATAAAAATCCTATCATTACAATGATCGTACCTACATTTATGGGGCTTTTCTCATTCCACAGTTCACTTCCCTTGGTTTTGTTGTCCACTGAGGTAGAATCCCCTTTGAGCTGTCCATGCACATGTTTTTGACTGTTGTGAAAATCTGGTCCTCCACAAGGATGAAGTCTCACTGTCTTTCAGCTGGTGAAGTACTTAAGGCAGTGCTTAATAGCACATTGGAAAGCTCAGTAACTACCCAAGGGATTAAACTGAAATCCATGCCAACTTACTGGGTAACTTGCACGCAGAGATCCAACTCGTGTTAAGTTTGTTGTTGTTGTTGTTGTTGTTGTTTTGGTTTTCTTTGCCATTACTGGGTCTTGAACTCAGCGCCTGGGTACTTAGATTTTTCTCTCAAGACTAGTGATCTACCACTTAAGCCGCAGCCCCCCTTCTGATTTTTTAGTGGTTAATTGGAGATTTTAAAAGTCTCTCAGCTTTCCTGCTGGGCTGGCTTTGAATCTTTTTTCTTTTTTGTTTTTTGCCTGTCGTGAAGTCTGAACTTGGGCCTGGGCACTGTCCTTCAGCTCTTCAGCTCAAGGCTGGCGCTCTACCACTTGAACCACAGCTCCATTTCTGGCTTTTTTTTTCTGCTTATGTGGTGCTTAGGAATCATATCCAGGGCCTCATGCATGCAAGGCAAGTACTCTATCATTGTGCTACCTTCCCAACCCCAGGCTTTGAATATTGATACTATATCTCATCATCCTGGGTAGGTAGGATTACAGGCACTTACTTGGCTAGTGTTTTTGTTTTTTTAGGTTGTTTGCAGATTGAAAAGCCAAGTGGGTCCCTGCAAGGTTTGTAGTCATAAGCCCTCTGCAAAGCTTGTTTGGCTCAGTAGTCTTCCTGCCACCACCTCTCCTACCCAGAAGCAAGCCCTTGACTTCTAGCTCATTGTTTATTATTATTATTTTTATCATTGTTCTCCTGAATCACAGGCTTCCTGACTTCTCAGTCATAGATATATGGAGTGACTTTGTTCTCACAAGCTTCCTGATTTCTCAGTCATATATACAATGTATGTAGTGATTTTGTTCTTTGGAAGATGACTGTTTGTTCTCCCTTTATGACCACTTAGTGTTTCTTTGTATGACCGTAAATGCTACAGGTCATGAGCCATGACCTACATTACTTTTTATTCTCTCTGGAGCTAATAAGTTGATATTCTATATTTTACTGTATTTGGTGTTTTTTGTAAAACTGTATTTACTGTATTTGGTGGTTCTGGGGTTGAAGCAGGTCCTTGTACATGTTAGACAGGCACTGTACTACTTGAGCTATACCCACAGCCTTTTTTGCTTTATTTGTTTTTGAAATAGGGTCTGAGTTTATTTCCGGGATAGTCTGGATCACAATCCTATTGATGCTTCTGAGGCAGGAGGAATAATAAGCACGTGCTACCATGCCCAGTTGTTGGTTAAGATGGGGTCTCAATAACTTTTGCTCAGGCTAACCTTGAACTACCCACTTCTCCCTATCTCCACCTCCTTAGTAGTTAGGATTACAGGTGTGAACCTGTAATTACACTTGACCTTTATTTATTTATTTTAAAATTTGCTTTGCTTTCTATGTACTATGGCTGAATAAGTCTACACTTCTTTGCATTTGTCTTTGAACAGGCTTTTTGCAAGCACCAGGACATCCCTGATGACCCACTTTCCAGAACTTGCCTGGGGACCCTGTGCCTCAGCCCCGCAACTGCCCGGATCTATTCACCTTGGGGGGTTTATTTCTTGACTTTCTTATTTTACTCCCTGGTTTGGATTGGGACATGAGGTAAAATGTGAGGTTTTATCCATAGTGGTTTTTCTGACTTCATACTTGATGAACTGATCAAGTAGCATTCCAGAAAAAAGTATTTTCAGTATTTCTAAGGTATTGTTCCATGCCCACCAGGCTTGTTGTATAGTAGAGGAATTTCAAGCCAGTGTTTGCCTTTCTGAAAGATTGAAGGCTCTTCTATGTGTCCCATGTAGTTTCTGGGCATCACTTATTTCCATCCTGTTGCCTCTGTTCTTACATGACTGTTCTTTGTCTTGCTTGGTGGTCTTATCCAATCACGTCATCCAGGTTGAACCCATGTCTGCAGGGAGCTGAGCTGGCCTACTACCTCTTACTCCTGGGCCCTGTGCTCTGTCACAAATGCAAGTTGTTGCTCCTCACCCCCTCCCCCTCCTTTTTTTTTCTTTTTTAGTATGGCTTGGTAACTTACTACATTCAAGACAACAGTGCTTGGTATACAGAGGACCTTCCCTCCCTTTTTCTCCAGTCCACAGACCTAAATCAGAAGAATCAATCTCTTCATGATTTCTGGGACCTTTCTACTTTCCTTTGGATGTTTCTTTTGCAGTTTCTAGAATTATTCTCTGTTTTTTCCCTTTCCTGAAAACTTTCCCCTTTTCCCTTTCTCCTTCCTCCTTCCCCCTTCTCTCTCATGCACTTTCTCCTCCCTCCCTTCTTCTTTCTTCCTCCCTCCCTCTTTCCCTCTCTTCCTCTCCTCCCCTCTTTCTTCCATCTCTTCCTCTCCTCTCCTTCCCTTCCTCCCTCTGTCCCTCCCTTCCTTCCCTTCCCTTCCCTTCCCTTCCCTTCCCTTCCCTTCCCTTCCCTTCCCTTCCCTTCCCTTCCCTTCCCTTCCCTTCCCTTCCCTTCCCTTCCCTTCCCTTCCCTTCCCTTCCCTTCCCTTCCCTTCCCCTCCCTTCCCTTCCCTTCCCTCCCTCTCTCCCTCCCTCCCTTCCTTCCCTCCTTCCCTCCTTCCTTCCTTCCTTCTTCCCTTCCTTTTTTCCTCCTTCCCTCCCCACCAGCTCTTCTCAGGGCCTTGCTTAAGGCTGGAATTCCACTGCTTGAGACACACCCCCACTTTGGCTTTTTGTTGGTTAGTTGGAGATAAGAGTCTTAGATCTGTCTGTCCAGACTGGCTTCAAACCTTCATCCTCAGATTTCAGCCTCCTTAGTAGCTATGATATTCAGATTTGAGCCACCAGTGGGCCTAGTCTGCTCTGGAACTACTCTATTGTGATGTAGAGTGGCCCCAAATCAATGCATTTATTTCCTAGTTTCCAGTATTTTAAAGTTGTAGTTTTACTCTCTAGAATTGCCCTCATCTTTGTGTTTGTACTCTTGTCATGTCCATTCAGTTTGTTTTAAAATTTCCAGTAGTCATATCATTGTCCCTCCGCCCCCCCCCCCCCTTCACAGAATAGAAGAAAAATGATCTTTTCTTTGTGCTTGCATTCTTTTAATGTTACTTTTGCCTGCTCATCTTTTTTCCCATTGAATGGTCGCTGTCCTCAGGGTTGGTGTTGGAGATCTGAGATTGTTTGCTCCTACCTCAGAGTGGGAACTCTGGAGGCAGCTCTGGCTCAGGAGAGGACTCTCCTGATCTCGGTGCTGAGTGCTGTTATGACCAGTTTCCCTGCCTTCTTCTGCCCGAATGGGGACAGGGCTGTAGACCCAAGTAACAAAATCTTATCATGCCATTTGGCTTGGAACTCCCCAGTCCAGAGATGGAGCTGCTGGTCTTCTGTCAGGATGGGACTTAATCTTGGAAGTTGTGCTTGAAATCAGACTGCCTCAGCTACCATCTCTCTCACATAGATGTGCCAGGCTCGCCCAGTGCTTGGCCGTTCCTAGGA